TTTGCTTGGTCCTATGACAGTTTTGAGACACAATCCGTTTCACTGCCAAGAGGCAGTTATTATACATGGGCTGTCCGCGTACGAGAGAGCGTTAACAAAAGCAAAATCTAATTTTCATTTTCAAAAGTGTCCGCGTCCTGTTGCGAGAGAGTGTCTGCTTATGGGAATGTGCAAATAATATATTTTGTGACGTTTCGTTAATGACACTGGAGTATCTTTATAATGTATGATTCGTGTTAACTGTAGACGTTCTCTAGGCGTGCTTGTAGGTATGATGAATCCCTAGAGGCTATTAGGCTATTTAAGATTTTGTAAGTTATGCAAGAGCCACTCGAACGCATCTCTTTCAACTTTGCTTTATTGTTTTCTCACTGCTGTAATTTCTTTATGGTGATGATGTAAACGCTCGCTGTATCAATAAACGAGATCCCCACCCCTGATGCTGTGTTTGTGTTTATTAAGATTAGTTACAAAATATTTTATAATCTTTCAGGGTGAGTAGAGTATAACAGAGTTTGACTGGGAGGTAAAACGGGGAATTGAAACAAAAGTGTCTGTAAGTAGAGAAGTCCGTTTCCGAGAGTGTCCATTAGCGGAGAGTTGACTGTGGTTCGAATATTAGAACTTTTTTCTGATATTGGGTGAAAAGTATTCCTATACGATTGGTATTAAAATGATCATTTTATTTCGGACTGAATCATTTATAGCTGAGAAATTCGCAATTATGTGAACGTGGAGTACAGAATTCATCTACCGTCTTGGGGTCACTGGTTCAGCCAGTACAAAGGATCTTTTCCTTTGTTCTTTTTTTCTTGTTTTTTTTGCCCAGGATGAACAGCAGTTGTTTATACTGTTTTCTTACAATTCCCTCAGTGCGAGGACGTCTTGTAAAAAATCATCTTTTGAAAATTTATACGTGACAAAAGTACACCTGAGAACTGAAGTGGATTGGTACTGATTACACCATCAGATGGTGAACTTATTCAAGGAAACCCCTCTTGCTGAAAGTTGTGTTTGTTTAGCGCGGTATCCTAACTGTTGACAAGTTACGTCTCCAAACAAGAAATCTGAATTACAA